TATCTCCCCTTGGGACAATTTTTTTTTCTCTCTTCAACAAACTGCATGATTCTGCAGCGAATGTTTCTCAGATCACAGCATGTGCTGCACTGCTTTTGTTTCGGTGTTTGATCCACATCCATCAACCTACGGACACTTTTTCCCCAGTGTCTCCAGGCAGAGGACATTTAGGGGAATCATGTTTTCTGACGGCTCTTTCAGGGGTGTGTCAAGCAGGCTACAGACTCTTTTAATGTCATTCAGTTTTTCAAAAAAGCTCACTTCAACTCCAGTACTGCATTACAGTAAGCAAGCTTCTCGCGCTTTTATTTTGTAGGCAAAACCACTAAAGAGGAAGTGATTATGTGAGTAACTGTTGCTACCATGATTGAGATCTATTTCAGCACCGCTTTCAAAGTATTTATTGATTTATATTTTTTGCCGCTATCAAAGCACTGTAATCTGGCAGCGGGCCAGATATTATTGTTGGTGGGCAGTGTTGGCGAGAATCCATAATCACAGAGAAAAAATGTGTTTCCTTTTTCAATGTTTGTATAAACTTTATCTAATGTGTGGTTTATAATGGACTGTGGTGCAGAAACAGTAACAGCGTTTCACACTCTTGGTTTATATTTTCCATGTTATCTGTCTGTGGCCAAGTCACAATAACATATGGTTTTACTGAATAATTAAGTAAATATAATTTAACTTAATGAATCTACCTAAACAAACCTCATTTCTTGACTGGCCGCTCTGCTGTCTCAGAAGAGACACCTTTTGTGCTGTGTCAGCCACCGTAGCTGTCCTACTCTCTTTGAAAGGTTAGGGGGCAGTGGTAGACTGGACAGGTGGTTGCAATTCACAACCCTCACCACTAGATGCCACTAAATCTTACACACTGAACCTTTAAGGGGAAAAAATGGATGAAACTTCAGGAAGAGCAATATATATCATTTGTCTAAAATAGCACAACATAGTGAAATTAAAGGATGGACAATTGTGATTATAGAATTATAAACAGATTTTTACAGTATATAAGGAATTGATCCAGACGGACTTTGAGCAACCTCATGTCACCAAACAGACCTGGGCCACATGACCTCTTCATGACAGACTACACAAACACACAAGAGGCAAAACTCAAACACACAGGTAGGAGAAAGAAACAGAAACACAAGGGAGAGAGAAAAGAGGAGAGACCGAATCACAACACCTGTGCAGGGCTTCACCTGGCTCTGCATCAGCCCGTCTTATTGTCCATTTAATACAAACAACCTTTACTGTGTTAGATTCCTTGATTTATACTGAACTCTCTCCGTCTCTTATTCTGCTACCCCAAGTCGTCACATATGGACGCTTGGACCTGTTGGCGGTTGGCATCAGTTTGTAACGCACTGTGAAGCCCCTTTAGTGTCATTTATGAACACTAAAATTAGGCCTTGTAGTAATAACAGAAAACAGGCTGTATGAATTGATGGGTTGTTTGTTTCGTGTGTGAAACAGAAAGTCAACATTGATTCTTTTTAGTAATGTTTTGTAACTTATGTTAAGTAACGTACTGATTTTACCACAAACCATGACCTTTTCCTAAACTTCACCAAGTAATTTTGGTGCCTAAAACTAACTAAATTGCGACGTTTCACAACGTCAACCACTAGTTTTATTTTGAAATTCTAGCCAGACATTGCCTAAACATGCGAATACCACACTAAAAGGTACCCAGGGCATTAAAAAGCTGCAGCAAGAGGTCTTGACCAAGCATCCATATGTGACGAGCTGGGATAGGAATGTGTTGGATTCTTTGTAGCACACCCAACAACCCCAATTTCTATAAGCCCTCTTCACTCTCTCATCTTGCAAATTTCCAAAGAAATGTTATGTGCACCACCGAAGCCCTCATCTGCCTCCCATATTTACTGTCTTTGGTCCCATTTTCATCCATTTTCCTTTTTCTTTGTTTTACCTTTTGCCTCCTCAAAATCCACAAACCAAACTCAACTTTTTGGCCCCTTCCACTCGAAAATAAAAATGTTTCTTCTCTCGGATGTTCAAGCTTCACCGTGGAGAATGATTAAGTTTGACACTAGAAATCTGTTTTCACGTTGATCTGCTGTGCTTACCTTACTAAACCTCAGGGATGAGTACACACAAGATTACTTTTCGACGTCACATTAAAGCCAGTTGTGGAAACTTAAAGCCTGCAGTGGGAGACATCTTGTGTCCAGCACCAACTAAATGAGATATATTCAGAGATTCTGGATTTTTCAATAAGACTGAAGGAGCAGATTTATTTTAAGTAGTTTATTATATAGTTGTTTGGTCGAAAACCCAAATCAGACGATAATTATTATTCCGAGCAGAATATTTTGACATATCCCAGAATTTGCCTGGAGGGTATTTTTAAAAAATAAGCAATTATATAAAATCTTTCTGACTGCCGCAAACGTCCTCCTTCCATGTTTTCTCTGTTAACAGTGTTTAATGTTTTTTCAGGGTCCCAGAATTTGCAAATATGCCGCTGGCCAAGAAAAACTGTAGGCTAAACTTTGATATGGAATGTACTTTTTAGCATCTGAAATATTGATAATGTCATAAGCCTTTTAGCAAGAAACTGAAGAAAACTGCACTAAAGGGAAGACATGTGGTGTTTGTGTGCCTGCTGATTGTTTTTCCCTGTATCATGTTGCACTTACGCAAATGTATGAAACTGTCCTGTGCAGGAAAACTTCAATTTAAAGTTGCAGTGAGTTGTCAGTGATTGTTCTTACACACTTTTGTGTTTGTACAAAGTTAATTTCAAAACCAAATTCTTTAGCTTTCTGGAGCTTTTGACTGTATGTACCACACGGTCTTCATCTGTGAGTCTTCTGGCATACAAGCTCAGCAGCTGTTATGATCTTTTAGGTCCACAGGACTTCTCATCTGTTTAAAAGTTAAGCATGAAAGTTAATTCTTTACTTTGGAAATTTGACAAAACAGACCCAACTCAAGGTCCAGCTTTCCACACTTTTGCGCATGTTTTTATTTTTCAGCCAACACACAAGACTCCACAACAACTCAGGAAACTGTAATCTGTGTAATGTGGTTGAGAGCTTTACAAAAAGCTGAGTTGGGATTGTGTTGTCAACAAAGCAACAGCCTTCTTCACTGTCTCTGGTACCCTGAGAGGTTTTAGAAGAGAAAATAAAAAAGTATTTCAGTGAATAAAACATGATGCAAAGAAACTAAAGAGAAATTTAAAATCAATTTGTTTTCATATGATTGGGTGACATACTGTAGATTTGCCTGGTGAGCCACAGCATGTCCTGTCCTGTTTACTACCCTGAACCAGAAGCAGGTCTCCTCCCAACAGGCTCAGCCTCAGGCCCAGCTCGTGCTGCCTTCACTGTACGTGGGAGGAACTGAATACACTGTGAGAAGAAACAAACAGAGAGAGAAGTTGTTGGGTCATGTGACTTGTTGAAACTTGTATCAGTGCCTCAAGATAGAAGGACTGAAGATGTTAAGGCCTCTGCACACATGCACGCCTGTGAGTAATACATTTTCAGGTTAGACGGTGTGTTATGTAATAAAAAGATAATTAAAACCACACCTCCAGAGTTTCATTCTTGACAGCTCATTAAACATTTTTAAGATGGTATTTACTCTCTGAAAAGCGATTATGATAGATAGAAAGCATCATTTACTACCAAACAGCTGAGGTGAAAAGTATTTTAAAGCAGAATCACAGAAAAGCTAAGATGTCATTCAGTTAAAATTGTTTAAAAAAGTAAAAGAAATATAAAAAGATCATGTTAGAAAATGTGACATGTTACATGACCAAAGGATCAATATCAAATCAGGATATACCAGTATAGATAAAAGCCCAAAACAAGACCAATGAAGAAACAGGTTGACAGAAACCTATCAATGCAGTTATGTTTATAAATGCACAATTCCACCAGGAACATGGACTGATTAAACATTAGGGATGATGAAAAAAAAACATTCATGTAAATGTAATGACTATGACAGAATAATTTAACATTCAGATTCACTATATCCTTATTTATTGGACTTGTGATTTAGTAAGTCAAAACCATAATCTCAGTAACGTCAAGTCAAAATTATACAATTTAAAAGGAAGGTGTAGGAAATCATTAATTCTTTTTATACGATTTTAATTCAAGTTTAAGTTTGATTTAGTAACTGAATATCATTTCAGCATTTTTCTCTTTTGCTCGTGTTGTCAGAAACAAACTGATTGCAGTTCGTGATTACTTATTGTATCTGTGGTGGTGGAAGAGGGTGCCTTACCGGGATTCTGTTTATTATATTATGTTGTACATGCACATATTGATGTATGCATTTTTTTTTATGTAAAGCACATTGAGTTTACTTGTAATGAAATGTCCTATACAAGGCAAATATAATTGCCTTGCCATTAGTATGACTTATTAAATTGACTGTGACATACAAGTCAAAATGTTTGTGTATATTTTCTTCAAAATAAGTCATAATTTTAGGAGAGCTTAATCATTATTACTGGATAGAATGATAATATTGTGAAATAATAACTTTAATATAATAACTATATAGCATTTGTATTTAAATAACTGTATATAGGCTTTTGTTTTATTTCATTTTATTTCAAATGTTACCATATTTTAACACAAATTTAAGTATCTGTTAAAGTTCTTTGTGTGTATCATGAAGGGTCTACACAATTTTATTTCCTTATACAACCTTGTGTTGTAAAATGACAAATAAACAACCTTCTAACCTTCTAAATAATAAGAATTTTAACAGAATTGTAATACTATAAATTCCTTTAATTTATATATTTTCTTCTCTAGTTGCCTATTTTATCTAAATGGGCTGAATGTTTTGTTGTTTCATGGTTTATAAATGATAAATAAGTTTGGGTTTTTTGTTGTTGTCAATAAAGGTATGGTTTTGTTAGTACGTTGTTTGTATTTCCCCACCGTCCAAGGGGCCATGAACGCAGCGCGCCCTGAACGCAGCGCAGCGCGGCGCTCCGCTGCCATGTTGTTGTGTTATTTTCAGGGGCAGAGTTTCCAGCTGTCGCTGTCTGCGGACTCAGCGGTCTCTGAGGAGGAGGGGGCACTGCTTTACTTACGTTATCTGGAATACAACTGAACTTCAAGTCGGTGTAAAAGTTATCGGACAACGAGAGGAGCTGTCGAGGTATGTACGTTAGTTTCTTTCTGATTTAAAAGTTGATGTTCTGTCACACTTGGTGCTACTTTCTCCCCCATTCATGCTAACGGTAACGCTAGCTGGTTAACTCACACCCAGCCCATAAAAACATCTCTTCGTCTTTCATAAGATCTTAAACTGGGAGATAAGACAGACAACTGTGTGTGTATTAGTGTCAAACATGAGCACGCAGAGTTAAATTAGCTTCAGCTCATGTAGAAACACATGAGTTTTGGAAGCTAACTTCTGTGCTAGCTGGCTAACGCTGCCACCACTTTGCCAAACTTGGTGCGATGACTTAAAAAAGTAAATGTGGGAACTTTTAATTGTTTTGCGGGAAAGGAGTGGAGTGGAGAAAGGAGACATAAATTCCAGGTGACTTTTCGTGGCTCTCCTGTGTGTTTGGTCTTTTAAGCTTGTGGGATAAAAGTCTGTGTGGGTTATTTATTTATAAGGCACATCAGGGCGGACCGAGAACGCACCACCGATCAAGTGTTCCACAGCTTATATAAAGTTAGCTTGATTAATTAATTATAAGTACTTTTTAAAGTTGTAAAACAGTTTAGGACGTGCCTGGGTGTACTCCACGCACTTGTACCTCACTGTGCAGTGATCCTGTCATTTACTAGAGGATCTGACTCTTGTTATAACAGCACTTGTGGAAGTGAATGTGATCCTGTCTGCTGGTGAAACTTTTTCTACCACAAAAAAAGGGGAAGTTTGCCTTGACTTTTCTTTCCTTAAGTCAAGTTTGCAAAGGAGTTAGATACACTAGTTTAAAGATTTTCAGTAGACTTGTATTTGTGCCTCTATGTCAAGGTTATGGCTCATTCACATGTAGTGTACCATGTTGGTTTTAAGCCTATTATCCATTTACATCCACTTACTTGCTTCTTAGTTTAAGAAAGGAATTCCTAACCCTTTGCACAGTTTGTAGACTTGTTGTCAAACCACTAGTTGTGCTGTGAGTTTCAAAATAGGTAGTCAGTCTTACATTTTGTTTCCTTTCAGGTCTGCAACTGATTGTTGTCATTGTAGATTAATCTAATGGCATTAAACTGATTAATCGCTCAGTCTATCAATCAGCAAAAAATGCCTATCACAGTGTTAAGGAGTCCAAGGTGGTGTCTGTAAATATCAAAACACAAATATTTAATATAAAACAACAGAAACCAGTACATTTTGAGAAGCAGGAAACCAGATGTTTCCGTAGTCACATTTACTTAGAAGTGGGATTTTCATTGTAAATTGAATATTGATTGTTTTCACTTTAAGTAAGTAAGAAAAACACACACTGTTGGGAGGAGACCTGCATCTGGTTCAGGGTAGTACATACAAAGTACATAGGTGAATACTATATTTATGTTTAGCACCAAGTAACCAAATTAAATTCCTTGTATTGTGTAAACCTGCTTGGCAATAAAGCTTATTCAGACTACTCTTCCTGGGGTCCTATTTGAGTTATCAAAAAAGTTATGACAGATCAATTACAGTGAGTAAACTCACGTACTGAGCCTGATGTGTATTTAATTTAAATTACTTGCTTAACAAAACATTGCAGCCCCTGAGCAGTGATGCGTCTCTGACATGTGAGTAGAGGAGAAAGTGTGAAGAGCGATTTTCACGATCCGAAACTGGAGCTGAATGATCTACTTTCCGGTGACGGGCGCCCAGTTTGATTAATTACAAATTATGGATCAAGAAAAAAAACCTGCTCGCGTGTGTCCTTCAGCTGAAGCTCAGTCATAAATACAGTGTTTGCTTCTACAGAGCCTTTTGATGGCTCGTGGTGGCGACAGTTCTGGAATAGGATATGGAAACATAATGGATTAAACCCGGGGTTGAATTTGTTATATAATGTTCAATATAATGTCATGGCGTAGTCGTGGTTTTAGACTGAGCACCTCTGCAGGAAGAAAAGGTTAAAGGAAATGGGGGGGTGTTGAGATAAGATCTTGGTATAAAATGTATTTCCGTCATCAGATTTGTCAGCAAGTGTTTGGGCTTTGTAATGAGATGGTGTCCCACGTAACGGGTAATGCAGCTCTGCAGTGACATACTACACCTGGTTATGGGGGAAGTTGGTTTGGAGGTTTAATGTTGGTGTTTTAAGTGTTTAGTGTTGCAGTTTGAGTTTCTGGCTTAGAGACTTTTCAACAGAATACTTGGCTCATGGTTGTTAGGATACCTGTGACCTTCTTGATAATGAGATTTAAATGCCATCCTGTTTTATATGAAGCATCAAATCTTATTGTTCTTGAAATCCAGCTGAATTGTATTAATATCACAAGGGCTGCAACTAGGGATACTTTTCATTATTAATTACTGACTTTATTTACTTGTTGTAGGGCTGGACAATAAAACAAAAACAATAATTATCGCGATGTAATTTTTTTCTATAACAAATGTTCAATAAATGTTTGATTTTATCCACTTGAATCATAAACAAATTAGGACTTTATTATTTTATTAAGATCTTTATTTGTTGAGGAAAAAGGACTGAAAAAAGCTTTTACTTAATTTTACTTGCATATTAAAGATTTTATCATAATTGTTTTGAATGTTCTACCTTGGATTTGTAAAGCAATCCAAGGTAGAACATTCTAGGACTGGACAATTAAACAATAACAATAATTTTCACAATATACTATTTCTCAATAGCAATATAACAAATGTTCAATAAATGTTTGATTTAATAAATGTAAATCACAAATTAATAAAAACTTAATTTTTCTATTAAGATATTTTGTTGAGGAAAAGGGACTGGGGAAAAAAAAGCTTTTACTTAATTTTACTCGTGCATATTTGTTGAAAAAAATCCACTGTTTGTTCTGACCATAATGAAGAGTTTAAACCACAATTAACCATCAGGTTTCTTCAACTTCCACTCAGAAGCAACCATTAAACTCGAAAGAAATTACGATTTGATAATTACTGTGATAATTATCGATATCGAAAGATGAAACTTTTTATTGTGAGAAAAGTTTTGGCCATATCGCCCAGTCCTAACTTGTTGTGGTTGTTTTTTTCCAATTAACTGGCCGTACAATTAAACAAAGTGCCAGTCACACTTCCCAAAACCCAAGGTGACATCTTTACATAGCTATTTTTTAATTTAACAAACAATACAAAACCCAAAGATATTCAGTTTACTATTAAGGTTGTGTTTCACGAATCAAATCGGTACAAAATTGCCAAGATCCGGAGAATTGTGCGTCTGGGTTCTGCTCCTCTGTTCCTAATTTTCTGCATATTTCAGCTCCTGACTGAACTGCAGTGAGCATTTTACACTCCATCAAAGTGTCTCTTATCTGCCAGGAGCTGCTACGCCGACCTAACGTCACCTCATTTGTTATGTGAACAAAGCATGAAGAAGAGAGTTCTTCTGTTTCCAGTCCTGGACCATGGCGGACCGCAGCAAACGCTCCAAAGTTTGGCTTAGCTTCACTAAAACAGAGATGCAACAAAATGCAGCAGCTGCAGTAAGGAGGGTTGGTGCGAGGCAGGAAGCAGCTCCAACATGACGAAGCTTTTACTTCAACACGGCGTGAATCTGAAGGAACGCTTCACCGTGTTCAACGTGTCGCGCTCTCCCAGCTACAGTGACGCCCCAGATCCAGCTAACGCTAACAGTAGCAACGTCTCAGGTACAAAACACCTTTTATACTGAAGGGAAAGCAGTGATGGCTACAAATGATTCAATAGATATTTCTCTTAGAGACGAGTCCCCAGAGACGCCCCTCTAGGACAGAGACTCCTTTCACTTTAGCCATGAAGGGGGAGATGAGCGAGGAAGCTCTGTAGGGGTTGGAACCAGAGCTGAGATTAAAAACTAACTGGATCAATAAGTAGAATCAGTTGAAACAATACCTAACCCAATTTACAATGACACAAAATCGCAATAAGGAGAAGGTTTTTAATTGAGCTGCCAGCAAATATTCAATCACATAAAACAGAAGCTTTGTAGCGAAATCATTCTGAATGATACCAACTGATCTAAACCCGAACTGATGTCTCAAAATTTAGTTTTTAAAGTGTCCTGTGCACTGCAGCAGGTCTTCTGGGTATTTCCACATTGTAGTTCCAGAGAGAACGGAAGGTTTACCAGCAGCTTAGGAAATATAGAGCTAACAGGGAACCTCCGGTTCTTGATTTCCAGGAAAGGAAACTGTCACTTTCCATTTCCAGTCCCTGACCAGAGCAGCTTGTAAAGTCAAAGAGGGATTCATCACCTTAATCTGTCGGAGTGAGTTTCCTACTGGCAAGTAAGTCGTCCACCTTTTTGCGTCTTTAAAGCGGTTAAACTAGTTCTGCCGGAGCAAAGGAGGGCAAGGTTGAGGGAAATGAGCTACCTGACAGGTGATCACCTCCCTCCCCCCCCACACCTCCCGCCCTTTCACTCTGCAAGCACAGGATTGTCTGGTCGGCCTTCTTGTGTCATCCAACACCCAGCTAATCCTATACGTCTCTGTTTATAAATGGATGCAGATTAGAAGCATGAGAATAGCAGGTTACTTCCTCTGAGACACGTCAAGTAGTTCACAGGTAAACAAACAGATCACCTGTGAATGAGGAGAGCTTGATGTGACGCACTAGAGCTGGCATGCAGATTGGTGTTTTATCGAAATAGGTACTGCTGATATGGATATATGTCGCTTTTAGGGCCGGGCGATACGGCTTATAAATAATATTTCAATATTTTAAGGCTACGATATATATACTGTGTCAATATCTTCTTCAAAATAATATAACATATATAATGTTAATGTCTGAGACTGTGGGCCTCCCCTCTAACGATGCTTGGGAAAAGGCGCACCCTCACCCCGTCTTAGTTTACTAGCTTAGTTTTGAGTTCCTGGATGCCAATGGGATCATAATTATGTTATTTTATCCCACTGACACTCAATAATTGAGCCAAAATAGCCTATAGTCTGTTGAGAGGGGGAAAAGCAGCCTGGGGAGCAATCTCCCCGAGGAAATCAGGTCTGCTGAATCAGCTCTTTTAAATCCCTTGTTCAGACATACTTCTATCGAACATCCTTCCCTGATTTTACACGAGTTAGTATTATAAGTATAATTTAGGAAATTCCTTTTATTTGTCAAATGTTTTTTGTTTTACCTGCCTTTATGTTTTATCTAGTTGAAATTATTTTTAATAAATTATTTTATGTCTTGTATTTGAGTCTTGTAAAGCAGTTTGTAATGTTGTCACACATGTAAGCATATCTATGTGATGTCCTTTTTAAAACTAATGTAGGGCTAATATTGTTTCACTCCCATTCACTGAGCCTCCATTGAAATCGTTTGGGCTCCCTGGGGAGGCCCGCCTTCCACTTAGAAAACCTCTGTAATTTACTATTACATAAAATTATAATGCATATTGTTACATTATATAATATATTGACATTGTACTAACAGTATACTATTAAATAAACAATATACTTTTTATTTAATATTATTATACTAATGTATTCATTTTGAGTAGTTCCTCCTGCAGGTTGTGGATAGAGTCTGTGCAGAGGATAGATGTAGATCTGTTTTACTAAGTTATTGTTAAGCAATCTTGTTTACATTAGTTGTGGCGTGGGTGGTGTGGGTGCATCGAGTATCCGTCCCTGGTTCAAAAACCTGCAAGTCCCACATGCCGCAAGCCACAATGCACCAATCGCAGCAGAGTTTTTGTTTAAAATGTCAAAAAATCAGTCATTTTGGACTGGTCGCCGAAGACAACTTTGTTTCTTCTTATGCTAATAACTTTTTGTTGAGAAATACACATTTCAAAATGTCAGTAGTTTGTGTGTGTGTGTGTGTGTGTGTGTGTGTTGATAATCAAGCAAGTAGACTCATGAAACCATTTGTTCCATTGTATGGCAAATTGCAATATTGTCCATGATAATCGCAATATGACTTTTTCTCGTTATCAAAGGATGAAGCCTCCTTGTATTCTGTTGTGCTCCTGTTTTGACACTTTGTGCTGTTAAAACAATGCAGTTTAAACAAAAATACATTTAATATTTTCCAGAAAAGTGATCAAATATCCACAATATCTATATGGTAATTGCACCCATATATTGATTTAGTAGCCTGTTTCATTGGCTTTGGAGTGACCACTGGAAAAAAAGCATTATTTATTATCTGACATTCAATTATTCATAGACTCACCACATCATCATTTCAACTATAAAACACACAATACTTAGCTTTAATCCCATAAACTTCAAATGTAGTTGCTGTCATCTTGTGGTACTTGTTCAATATTATTTTTTGTAGTTTTATGCATTTTTCATTCTGCACTGTAGGCTGTTTTTAGATTTGTGCATTAGTAGCAATTGTTCTGTAGTATATTTTGCAGAGGGTTGTAGTTTATTTCTGATCTGCCTCCAAATGTTCGACCGGCTGTTATCTTAGTCTGGAACTGAAGTTAACTCAGTGGTGGTGAATCACTTTGGGGAGTCTGTGACTGTGTGGGAGAGCGTGTCTCCTGCATGTAAACGCTTTTAATGCCAAAATAAATAGCTAAAATGTGCATTGAATAACTCATGTTATTTCCTGTTTGCTTTTGCTTCAAAAGTATAGAAAATAGCTGTTATTCCCCACAAAATTTGCCACAAAGCCATGCTGCTCCATAATAGAACTAAGTAACCGTCTCTTCCCCTAGCTCACTCAGTGCACCTCAGAGAGGATTATAACGGCATCAAGGTGACCATGCTGGACACCTTGAAGGATGATGAATATGGCTGGGAGGTCATAGGGGACATCCTGATGGGGATATTTTACCAAGTTTCCTTTTTATCTTTGCCTTTGGGACATCAGGGACAATGAAATAATTTCCATAGCTCTAGAGAAGGAGTCTTCAGCCTTAAGTATCTTTAAGACTTCTTCTCTTACCTCTCTGAGGCAAAGATCAAAGCCGGTGTATAGATATAGCCGCAAGTGGCAATAATTGGGATCCATGCAAGTCTTAAAAAAATGCTACATTTGACATTTTCAGAGGAGAAAAACAGACACAGACGACTTAAGAGATTAAAGTAATGAAAGAATTTGGACTTTGAGATAATTGGGTAAAGGCAAACTTGATTTCACCTTGAGATCAGAGTGTGTCATTATATGTACCTGACTACTGAGTGACCTGTTCCCACCCACATGCGACATTTTGTGTTTCGAAGATTTAAAGTTTAAGCTGCACAAACAATTTTAGCTGGAGAAAAAAAAAATAGGAAGAAAGTGTCACAGGATCCAAATAAAATAGAGACCTTAGACTCACTATTATCTGAACATCCCTTATTGTCAGCAAGTGAGCTACTCATGAGAGGCTGTTTTCACACACCTTCTCACAAGTTAAGGTAGTGACGTCACACGTGCCAGACCCGGATAGTTTTCAGTTTAAACTTAAAACACTTACAACTGTCAAGATGTTGGTGAGAAGATTCTGAACAAAATCACACTTCATTCTGCTGGTTTTGGGTGTGTTGTCAATTAATTTGGTGGCATTTGATCCAAAACTGAGTTAAAAAGAAGATGTTGTTCATCAAGTTACAGCAAGATACTGAATATCACTGCAGACTAGGGTGACCAGACGTCCCGAAAAATCCGGGACAGTCCCAAATTACAAGCAGTTGTCCCGACCCCTTTCCGGTTTGTCCCGAAAATTAGACCTAACATGAGTTTTGATTATAGCCTAATTACACATTAAATACTGATTGTTGTATACTTCTCTCGCTCCAGCAGGGGTTGCAGGTTATCTGTACATTGTGTCAACAGCGTTGTTATAGCCACAAAGTAACACTCGTCGTTTTGTTTTCTTGTGGTTGGTGGAAGTTACAGTGTAGCTTCAGGCAGCCACGGCATGGGGGAGAGATCTGACACGCGTGTTGCGCAGACAGATGTGACACTGCACTGATGACATGAATAAAATAAATACAAAAATTAGGTAAAATGTCATGACTTACCTACATATCCACAGCAGTGTTTTTCCTAATAACAGACTTCATGAACAAAAACAATTAAATTAGCGTTGTGTTTTGATTGTCACGTGTGTTAATGTTCATTGACACTCAATGTACCGGTAGCCACGCTCTAAAGACACGTTGAAACACTTGATATCAGCCATCTGGAGAACGACTCTGTCGAGTTTGGTAGCGTTTCAAGAAAGACTTGTGGAGATATAGATGTTAATTGAATTAGCATATTCTGAAAAATATAGAATTACTGACTTCTGAATTGACCACAGGTTGCAGTGAGGCAAACATTTGTCACATATCAGTGGATGTGCTGAAAAAAGTTCTAGGATGTACGGGTGATTTTCTTCTTTCTTTCTTGTTTTTTTTAAAGTTTGGAATGAGACATGTCTAGAAATGTACATTTCTTGTAAGAAGCCATGCCCACTTTGCGAAATCATTACCAAATTTTTACATCAACTGAGTAGTGACCTGAGATCGTACAAACCGAATTCCGTAGGAATCCATCCAGCGAATTACGAGGTATAAACTTTTTGCAAGTGTAGCGCCCCCTAGTGGAAGAATATCCCAGGACTGCTTAGCGAAGCTTGGGCCAAGCATCTGAGCAGACGCCTCAATTGGCTTAAGCCAATTTTGATTTACGGGCATTTATGTAAAATTATACGTAAATACACAAAAGTAAAAATGTAGGAAAAAAACAGATTGACGTATTAAATTTCTTTTGATAAATATTGATCAGCGCAGTCCATAGATGATTCTGCCAAAGTTTCAGGTTGATTGGCGAAACCGCCTGGGACAAGTTCACAAAAATAGGTTTTAGAGAAAAATGATAAAACGTTGTATAATTTGACATTTTTAGAGCAGAAGACCTGATGCAGATGAATCCAGCTATTAAAATAATGAAAGAAGTTTGACTCTAAACAAAGCCGTTTTCGAGAAAATGCTAAAACGAATTTTGGTGAGTTTTTGTACAGCAGTTTTTGCTGCCTAAACACATTTAGTGGAAAGAAAGAGAGAGAATCATAATAAAAACAATAGAGCTCCAGCAGCTTCGCTTCTTGGATCCCTAAATACACTCATTGGCCACTTTATTAGGTACACCTTGCTAGTAGCTGGTTGGACCCCCTTTTGCCTTCAGAACTGCCTTAATTCCTCGTGGCATACTTTCAACAAGGTGTTGGAAACATTCCTCAGAGACTTTGGTCCATATAGCCGTGATAGCATCACGCAGTAGCTGCAGATTTGTCGGCTGCAGATGGACGATGCGAATCTCCTGTTCCACCACATCCTTAAGGTGCTCTAGTGGG